ACATCCAGGTGGGGCAAGCAGATGTGGAGGGTTGCTGCCCACTAGACACTGCTCCCACCATCTCACCTCCAGACCTCTCAGGCCTTGTCCTCAGTCACAGCGACCCCTTCATTCCCCATGCAGAAGCCCAGTGGGGGGCCTTCCTCACCCCCACCCGCCCCCCTCATCCTGTCCAGCCCCTCTCTCCCTCCCCACCGCCCCTGCCTGGCCCCCTGCACCTTCCCCTCTTCCACTCAGCAACATCCTCCCAACTTGGGATACATTCCTGTCTCCACACTGAACACAGCTTTACTTTTTATAGTACTCGTCTCTCTGACAAAGTCGATGTGCAGCCACGGCAGGTATTTACAGTGGGCCTGTGCAAAGTGCTAATGCTGGACCCGCAAGGCGCCACCAGCACAGCTGGGATAGCGCATGCTCTGTCCCACCTGCCTCATGCTGCTTGAGCCTCTCCGCAGGGAGGGAGGGTGTGGACAGAGTGCTGTTTGCGTAAGAGCCATCCTGAGAGCAGGACAGATGCCTCCTGCCCCAGCTGCCAGGGCGGGTGGGTTCCGCGTTTGGTGGATCTTTTCCTCCTTGGATATGGTTGCGTTTGGACACCACATTCTGAGAGAAGGAGCCCACAATTAAGTGGCTGTGGAGAGTCACCATATTTGCAGTGACAATACTCCAACAGTGACAGTTACAAGTTCCCATTCATTTAGAACACCCCACCCCACCCCCGGGGCCATTTACATGCCTCTTCCCATCTGGTCCAGGGTCACTGAGGTGCTCACAGGCCAGGTTACCTGCCCAGGTGGAGCCGAGGTCCAGCCCAGGGGGGTTCTGATGGCAAGCCCTGTCATCTCCCCCATACTTCATTGAGGTGTACTTTGCATATGTAAAGTGCACACATCTACCTGTCAGCCTGGCTTGTCACATTTGTACACACCTGTGTGACCACCACACAGATCCAGATGGAGCATTTCCAACAACCGAGTGCCTCTGAGCCCCTTCCACCCAACCCACCACGAGAGGCACCACACCCTGATCCCCCCACACAGACAGTCCCATCTGCCCTCCAGCTGCCATCAGCGTGGAACCAGGTGGGGTGCAGACTCTGGTGTCTAGATTCTCTCAGCCAGCATCACTCTTTTGAGACATCTATGTTATCGAGTGCATCAATAGTTCATTCCTTTCTATCATGAGTAACTTTACACTGAATAAATATACCAGTCTGCCTATCCATCCACCTGCCCATGGGCATTTAGGATGTTTCCATTTTATTCCGTCAATGAATAAAGCCACTATGAACACTGCTGCACATCTTTTTGGTAGACAAAGGTATTCATTTCTCTTGAGTAGATCCTTAGGAGCGGAGTTGCTGGGTCCTAGAGTAGATTTACACGTAACTTCAGTAGAAAGTGTGACATGACAGTTTTCTGAAGTGGTGGTTCTGTTACACACTGACCACAAAAGCGTGAGAGCTCGGCTGCCACAGCGCTATCAACCGCTGATGTCATCAGTCTCTGGAATTCAATTCTTCACGGCAGGTGTGCAGTGGGATTCACTGAGGTCTATTTGCATTTCTCTAATGACCAATAATGATGAGGAACTTTCCATTTGCTTATTGGCCGTCTGTGCATCTTTTGTAAAGTACCTGTTCAAGTGTCTAGCACATGTTTTGGTTGTCTTTTTATTATGGAGTTGTGAAATTCTTTCTTTCCTAGATATAGTACTGCAAATATTTCTCCAAGTCTGTGACTTGCCTTTTTATTTTCGTAAGAATATCTGGAGGCTGGCCTGTTAGCTCAGGCGATTAGAGCTCAGCCTTGTAACACCAAGGTCAAAGGTTCAGTTGCCCATACTGGGGAGCCGCCAAAAAAAAGGAGAGAAAAAACATACATATATATCCATTTTTAATATTCTAAAGAAAAATTTACATTGTTTTATTTTTTATTTTTCTCCGTAGCATAGGAAAATAATAAACTAAGGAAAAAATACACATTAACACCTAAACTTTTCAGTAACAATATATTTCATATAGTAAGAATTTGATACAGATTACTTTGTTCCCCAGTGTTTTTCACTAAATCTGAATTGTATATTGTGGAATCAGTAAGTATCAAGAATGAGCCAGTCTAAAGAAAATTTCCTGTAGAATAACCCCCCACACCACACCACCGTGTGCAGCACACAACTGTTAAAACCCAAAAGCCTCCACAGAGACACCAGACTCAACACTGACCAATCTCCACAAGGCAATGTTGATGAGCAAAAGTCTATATCTTTGAAGTCCAATTTATCCATTTTTTTCTGCATGATTTATGCCTTTTATGTCCTTCCTTGCCCACTCCAAGTCGTGAAGATCTTCTCTAGAGTTTTCCTGTAGAAGCTTTAGAATTAGCTCCCACTCCCAGGTCTCTGATACATCTCAAATTATGTGTGCGCACACACTCCGCAGGGTACCCGTGGCACCCGCAGCCTTCCTTTTTCCATGAAATTGCACAGGGGCCTGTGTCCAAAACCCAGCAACCAAGAAGTGCAAATCCCCCTCTGGATTCTCAATCTCGTGCCGTGACCGTGTCCCCCTCAGTGTGGGCTGCCATCACTTCCTGGTCAGTTTTGAGACATGGGCAGGAGAGGCTCCAATTTTGTTCTAGCCTATCTTATCTATTTTAAGTCCTCTGCATTGCCATATAAATTTTAGAATCTGATTGTCAACTTCTATGACAATCCTGCTGGGTTTCTGATTGGGGCAGCAGTGAATCTATTTATCAGTTTGGACAAAATTACTATCTCCACCATGTTGTCTTCCATTCCATGAATACAGTGTATGTCTCCTTTTACGTCTTCTTTGGTTTCTCTAATTTAAGTATAAGGATCTTATACAGCTTTCATTCCATGTACTCCTGGGTATTCGCTGTTTGGGGTGCTGCTGTTAATGGTACATACCCTAATCTCCTAATTGCACGTCGCTGGCATGTAGACTTACACACGGTCTGGCAACTGACCTTGCATCCTGCCGTCTCGCTGAGCTCACAGGCCGCTTCCAGGCACGTCTGCAGACTCCTTTGGATTCCCGACACACGCCAGCATGTCCCTCTGAATCCTTTGCTCACTTGCTCCCTCTCCACACTTGATGCTTTCTTTTCCTTGACTTTTTGCCTGATTGGAGCTGCCAGTCACTGGGGGACGGAGGTGGTGTGACAGATACCCATGTCACGTTCCTGACCATCCCAGACAGTGGGAATAATATTACATCATCCTCTACCCAAAGCCCACACAAACGTCCAAATCAGTCTGAGGGTGATAAGACCATGCCGTGACACTAGCGGTCTCCTGAATGAAATGCAGTGACATGCCCATGGCCCACGTCTGTGGCAACACCTCCACTGCAGGAATAACCTCATGGGAGGCTAAGACTCTGCACCTTGACTGGGACTGTCCTGGGTAACTGACTGCGCCCAGTGGAAAAAATAGAAAAGCTGAAATTAAATCAAGTATACTTGCAGAATTTCAGTAGTGACCATCCTTCACTCGCTGAGCCAACTATCTCAGGCTGAGAAGGCCTGGGGAAAGCGTTGCCCTAGCCACCCGGGGCTGCACCCAGTGCTCCCTGCCAAGCTTCCAAAGGCTGGTTCAGTTGCATGCACTGCCCAGTGCCACAGGTGTTATGGTGAAACTGTGTCCTCCCAAAAAAGAGATATGGTGGAGTCCTAACTCTCAGGAGTGCAGAATGTGACTTAACTTGGAAACAGGGTCTTCACAGAAGTGATCAAGTTAAAAGGAAGTCATTCAGGGGGGCCCAATCCAATAGTACTATTGTCCTTACAGAAAGGCGAGACTCAGGGCCGGCCCGGTGGCGCACTGCTGGCCACTCACTGGCTGAGCGAGGTGCGGGGGCAACACCGAGGGTTGCGATCCCGTTGCCGGTCCCGGTCCGGTATGGGCGCAACACTGAGGGTTGCGATCCGTTGCCGGTCACAAAAAAAGACAAAAAGGAAAAAAAAAAGAAAAAGAAAAAGAAAGGCGAGACTCAGAGACAGAGTCAGACACGCGCAGGGAGCACACCACACAAAAGTGAAGGCAGCAATCCGAGTGCCGCTTCCACAAGCCAAGGAACCACCAGCAGCTGGGAGATGATAGATCTCCCCCCCGGCCGCAGAGGAAACCCGCCCTGCCTACACCTCATCTCAGACTTCTGGCCTCCAGAACTGTGAGGAATAATTCTCTGTTGCCTAAAGCCCCCAGTCTGTGGTCCTTAGTTATGGAAACCCCAGGAGACTCATACAACAGATATCCAATGAGAGCAGTGTTTTCAGCGTAACTTGTAAATAAACCGACTCACTAGTTAAAATGACTGTAACGTCTGGGGACCAACTCCAATGACACAGCTTAGTTATGGAAACCCCAGGAGACTCATACAACAGATATCCAATGAGAGCAGTGTTTTCAGTGTAACTTGTAAATAAACCGACTCACTAGTTAAAATGACTGTAACGTCTGGGGACCAACTCCAATGACACAAACAACCGCTGTCCAAGATGCTGGGAAGGCAGAGTGTGGCACGTCTGAGTTTAGGAGGCGGCAGCTGTGACTCCTGGAGGCCACCCTGTAACACTAAGGGACAGAGACGAGGCAGGACCTCCAGGCCACCCCATCTCTCTCCACTGTGGGTCTGCACAAGGGCTGGGGCCATGTGGTCACCTAAGCTAGGCTCACCTCTGCGCGTTTCTGCCCAACTTGGGACAAGAGCCCAGTGCACATACAGCAGAACTCATGTGTGGCCCAGGCCGAGCCAACCAACTATGACAGCACAAGGTTCAGGCTCAGCCCCCGGCCCTCGGACTCGATGGACAAGTCTTCTCGGCACCGCAGAGGGAGGTTATCTCTACCTGATTCACTGGGTTTAGTTATACATTCTAATGAGCTGCTCATAAATACCTCAGCAGAACCAGAATTGAGTCTCTGGCAACAGAATCGAAAACTGGCAAACTAGGAAAAACAGGCAAAACAAATACAGATAAATTTGTTTTTAATAAAGGAGTTAATTTTCTTTCAATCCTATATAAAACAATAGCAATTAAAAACTTCATTTTTGAAAGTAAAATATTTACATATGAACAAGTAACTGTGCAAAATTTACATGAAAAAATGGAAAGACAGGGATTTCCTAAAAGACAAAATAAAAGGTGTAACAGTTCTCAGGTGTTGGTAAAAAATACTGATCAGCATTCAGTTCACACGCACGCCAATTAAAGTCTAACATGAGAATTCACATGGAGAAAGCCAAAGTATTTACAATCATAAAAGTACTATCAATAGACAATTTAATACAATAACCTCTGAAAATATAAAGAACCAATTAGTATATTTGTAATAAAAAAATAGGTACAAAGAAGGGGCTTTGCTCTGGACGCCTGTAAAGTTGGCCCACAGCTTGCATACAGTCTCTTAGCAAAATAATTATAGTTTACATAGCCATCTGTATGTTATGTGCCAAAAATTATGTACAATTACTGACAAAACACACCAGCCATTTTCCAACACTTGATTCACACCAAGAACAGTCTTTTGATGATTCTTCTCAACTTTGATTTTATTTAATCTAAGTTTCCACTTTTAGCTAAAAAACACAGTGCAAGTAAAATATATTTATGCTGAAAAGGTTTTCATTTCTCTCAACTTTACAGCTTTACAAACTATAGCAAACAAAATGCATTTGTACAGATGCTGACCACACATTCAGGAGGAACCCACCTCGCTGGCTCCGGCCTCTACTAAGCAGAAATGTGACTACACTCCGAGGCAATGGTGACACCGTGAGCTGCGGGTTCCTCAAGAATTCTGAACGGGTTGGGGAGAAGGGGAGAGGGAGCAAGATAAATAGTCTGAAAAATCAGTTTGCTTTGCCAACTGACTGTTACAAAATAAAATAAATGAAATGAGGTCGCTGGCTGTAGACACACACCTACAGCGAAGATAGGTTGAACTGAACTCAAATGCACAAGTAAGGTACAAACTGCTACGAGCTGACAGAGGGCGGCTCATTATTTGCTAAATGATTCCGTCAGTCTTTATATATGGCTTGTTTGGCAAGAAGGCCACTCAATCAAAGATGAGTTAAAATTTAATTGTCCTTTAAGAATATCCACAGGCCTCTGTATTCTCTCTGTTACAGAAAGGTATTTTTTTCATACTGAAGAGTTGATTTAGAAACAGGAATATAAAACTGTTCCATTGTAAAGAGGTGGCTGTTTTTTAAACAATATCCCATTTGCTTGTTACAAAAAACTGCAAATATATAAAAACGTCCCCAGGCGTCTCCATCAGACACACCGTGCTCCTCCTGCGTCACTTAAGGAATGCTTTGTAGAGCAACAGTGAATGGCTTGTCTCGCGCTCATTTTCTAAACAAAATATGAGGTCCCTGAGGTTGACTCGCGTGATTCTTTGCCGTGTGAACTGTCTGGGGGTTCCGACGCCGGAGCTGCCTGGGACCGCCAAGCCTGGGCCCGAGCCCTGGTAACAAGAAAGGAGAAGACAGTCGTGTTAGTGGTGCTGGAGGTGGGTAGAGACAGGAGGCAAGGGGGCAGCTAAAGTGTCCCCAAAACATGTCTCGAGGACCCTGACTCTGAAGGAGGCCTGGAATGGCACAGGCCTAAGGGGAAAGGGGAGGACAGGAGGCCCCACGCCACACCTTCAGGACCAGCGCTCTAGGGCACACACTCAGAACACTACCCCTCGATGACCCACAAAGCTCAGACTCCAGCCCTGGGGCGTGAGACAGGACAAGATAGTGGTTGCTGACCTCCATGTGGCCACAGCAAGGCTGTCTGGAGGGCTCAGGTAGGGGACCAAAGCCACGCCCAATGCCACAGCTAGGGCCAGGTGAGTCATCCCCACTTGGAGGATAAAGGCACTGGGTCTGAATTTCTGGACTGAGTGGGTTGGTGGTCAGCTGGGAAGGCCGGACTGCTCAATGGTTATGATGGTGATCCATGGCCAAGATGGGGCTCCCCTCTACCCTTTGCAGGGCCCTGGCTACACAGACACCTGGCTCCGCCAGCCCCTCTAGCAACCAGCTATCTTCTGAGCCTTCTCAGACGCCTTCCTGCTGAGAGAAATGGAGTTGATGGGGTTAGTTTTCTGCAACGATTGCATCGCCACTGAGCAGCAGCATCCAGTAATTTCATCACGTCACCGTCTCCATCTGAAACCTTCTAGGCACAAACCACAGAACTCCACGATGGCTCTCGGTTTTCCATGTGGCACAAAGATGAGCATCTGCATCCTCGTGACTAAAGCTGCTTGTGTACATTTTAAGTGATATTCAGTTGGAAGTAACGAGCTCCACCATGAGTGCTGGCAGGAGCCTGCTGCGAGAAGACGCAGTCACAGTCAGCGGCCAGCAGGTGGCAGGCGAGGCCCGCAGCCTGTCACCGTAGTGTCCCTCCTCCTGCACCTGCTCAGGTTGGGCGCCCAACTGCCTTCCTTCTTGGGGTCTCCTAAGACATGCACCTGTGTCTCTGGCCCTTAATGACGTGCTCTTTGTACGTGTGAGATTCAAAGAGAAGAGGGCATGTCCCCCTGTCAGACGCCCTCAACCATCGAGGTCCTATCTTCGGTCCCAGTCTCCAGATCCCTTTGGTGGCTACTTTCTCTGGTTTGAAAGAACTATTTAGGTTTTTTGGTAGTTTCCTTTAGTCTCCATAACACCCTTAAAGAAGCATTTCATGAAAGAGACAAACCAAGCACCCGCTTTATGGGTGAAAATAAACAGTGAAAAGGAACGAGGAGGGCCATAGGACCCCATCTCCAGGAGCCCCCCTGGCAGTGGCCAAGCACAGCAGGAACACCAGCTGCCCTTCTGAGGAGCGCCTGATGGTTTGGAACATGAACTGCCAGCAGGAGAACGTGGCAGGGCATGGAGCAGACACCGGTGTCTAGAAAGAAAGCCAGGCGGGTAACAGAGAGCTAGAGCACAGCAGAGGGAGGACTGCTTTTCTCTTCTCTCCAGCTGTTCTTAGAATCGTCAGAACAAATGGCATCCCGGGGACATGGGAGCCTCATCTGGATCCAAACCTTCCCCTCCCGTTCACACATGCAGCTGAGGGCGGCGGGCTCCACATTTCTACACTGGCCATCACCTTTGTTACACACTGGTCCACACCTGACTGCAGGGCTCTTGACAGAAAACCCTGGTGGCACCTCTCAGAGGCACTGCCCAGACAACAGGCCGAAACATCTTCTGTGACACTTGCTACACATTTTGGACTGCATTTAATGTTTATACTTTCAGAATAATTCAACACCAAAATCAGGGCTGGGAGGAGGTGAGGTGCTTGTCTCAGGTGCAAAACTTAAGGGATGCTGAAGTCAGAAATCAAGATAAATAGTATCTTAATGCAAAATCCAAACTCACCAATGGGCATGTGTCAGCACGACCGAGGGCAGGCGCCACCTCTGGGCTCAGTGCAGCCACCCCAGCCCACCGTTCCCTCCCGGGCCACAGCACCTCCTGCGCCGGCGCTGATGGTGAACTCAGCTGTCACATGTCCACAAGAACCAGGAATTCTTACAGTTCTGGGGTTTTTATACACACAACTGAATTCTTCTTAAATCTTTTTTAAAAAGCCAAGCCTGTTCTCAAATACACCCCATTGGAGACTCTAGTCATGTGGAAGCACCACAGCTCCCCACCCCCTGAAGGCCGTGCATTTGCCACTTTGCTCCAGGGCCTGGGATCATATCGTTCTGTGGGTACCCCGGCTGGGCAGAGGTTCCTCTGCTAATTTAATCTGAAGATGGAGTAGAAATCTAACTGGAATTTAACCTTTAGACCCACGACAGGGGCCAGCTAGCTGAACCATGGAGCATCCTCTGAAGACTGTCCGTGCCAGGCCCTCACGGCACTGGCAGTGGCTTAATTCTCTAGGCTTATTCAAAACCCCGATGGGCTGTGCCCTCAGCAGGTGCAGCAGCCCAGGGTGGGAAGTAGGGACAGTTCACCCAGCCCACGGGGAGGAGAGAGCCTAGCTGAGTCTCAGAGGCCTCCGTGGAAGCCTTGCAAAGAAGCACCCAAAGGGACCATCAACAGTGCAGGAGCCTCCTCGGCCACTCTTGAGAGGCTGGAGCATGTGCTCGCTGTCCAGCGCAGCCAGCACGACCTGAAGCAGGACCTGAGATGACAGAAAGTCTACAAGGGCAGGCGCCACCACCCGACCACGGCAGGTGCTGACCCAACCTTCCATAACACTGCCACTCAGTGACCCTGGACATGTGGTGAGAACTTGCTAAGCCCCAGTCTCCTCCTCTGTAAAACGGTGCTGGGAACATTCACCCTACCTGGTCACAGGGCTGTCAAAAGGATCACATAAAAGGAGACCAATATTCCAGCTGTCAAACATATTGTGATAAATCTGACTGCCACACACACTCTACACAGAAACCAAATGGAGAGCTGGCTGGTCAGCTCAGCTGGTTAGAACACAGTGTGATAACACCAAGGTTGAGGGTTCCTATCCCCGCCAAAAGAGAAAAAAAAAGAACTGCCTTCCATCCACACCACACCAGCTCTGGGTCCATGCACAGCACAAGGTGGCCCTGCACCAACGTCCACCAGAGGAGGCAGCTCCGGGATCCCCCACACTCCCGGGGCACCCACCCAAACCAGCTGGAACGTTATACCCCAGTGCCGTTAGCACCCCAGCAGCTTACTCGGGAGGAGAAACATCCACACCAGGAGGCGCAGGGCCCAGGGGTCTTTATTGCACCAAGGAGCCACCACTCAAGCACTGGCCGAGAGCTCTGCACCCACAGCAGCCCCAGGACACCAAGTAGAAAGTGGCTCTTCAGGAGCAGGGTGAGCATTTCTCATCTGCTCCAGCCGTCCCACTGTCCAGCCAGACGACAATGAGCAACTTGGGTCAAAGTAGCAGCTGGTACCAGCAGTGTCAGTGCGGCTTAGCACCAGTTCCAGCCACTGGCTCTGCACCCTCCCAAAACTCACTCTCAGCCTTTCTCTGCTGCCTGCCGCCCATGAAAAGCCACACACACATACACGCGGCCAAGTCATCTGCCGTGCATTTAAAAGAGCAGTAGTTTGGGGCCAGCCCGGTGGCGCACTGCTACAGTGCGCCGCTTGGGAGCGCGGTGGCGCTCCCGCTGAGGGTTCGGATCCCACATACAGACCGGCCGCTCACTGGCTGAGCGAGGTGCGGGTGCGACACCGAGGGTTGCGATCCCGTTGCCGGTCCCGGTCCGGTACAGGCGCGACACTGAGGGTTGCGATCCGTTGCCGGTCACGAAAAAAGACAAAAAGGAAAAAAAAAAAAAGAGCAGTCGTTATAATAAATCACTCAGATACGCAGATGAAGGATATGAACATAGCTTCCAGGAGGCCAAGGACAATGCAGCTGCCCAGTTCAATGACTCCCAGTACCTCTCACACGAACAATTCAGAACAAGAAGGGAAAACCAAATCTCCACAGAGACCACACCACCCGCACAACGAGAAGACAGGGAACACAAACTTCAGAGTAACTGCAAGTGAGAGAAGAATCAACACACCCCAGTGCGTGACCTCCCATCCTGCTCCCTAGCACGGCTACATGGTACAGACAGACAGAGAACAAGGCAGGCAGACAGAAGAGGAGACGGTGGGGCTGAGATCAGTCGAAAAGCACTGCCAGAAACACTAAGTCCCCAGATGTCTGCGAGCCCTACAGAGGTATCCAGGCTGGTCAGAGCCCAGGCCACGGGGAAGGGAGCCCGAGCTGTGAGGAGGGGTCTTCAAAGGGCAAAATGGAACGTTCTGAGAAGAGCCCTTCACAACTGGGGGGGCGGGGAGTAAACAGGGAAATTTTAGTTTCTGCAAGAAAAGAGACCTCACAATCAGAGGACACAGGGCCCATCCTGTAGGAGGCAAAGCCATCCCTGGGCTCAAACACCTGGGCTTCCCAACACCTTCAGAAGAGGGCACAGTAAACCACAGACCCTCGCGAGTCCATGAAGAACCACTGTGAAAAGTCAGGAAGTGAGAGTCCACACATGTCAAAAACAGAGTCAGAGGCCGGCCCGGTGGCACACTGGAGAGTGTGCAGCGCTCCCGCCGAGGGTTCGGAACCCATGTGGAGACCAGTTCCCGCTCACTGGCTGAGCGCGGTGCGGGCGAAACACTGAGGGTTGCGATCCTGTTGCCGGTCCCCGGTACGGGCACAACACTGAGGGTTGCGAGCCCGTTACCGGTCAGTAAAAAAGACAAAAAGGAAAAAAAAAAAAAACAGAGTCAGCCTAGAAAAGCAGGAAAAATCTGTAAGACCACACTTTCAAAAAAATAAAATATACTTAATTGAGCTTGTAATGATATGAAAATCACCTTGAATCAAAAACTAGGAAATAGATTTTTAAAAAGAAACAGCAAACAAAATGGAAGAAATGAGAGCTGACTAAACTTGAGAAAGAAATGGAAAGAAAGGACACAGTTATCTCAGGGCCGGCCCGGTGGCGCGGCGGCGCTC